TCAGCCAAATGGCTGGCAAGTTGATGAAGCCTATTGGTAGAAGCCTCAGTTTCTCTCATGTAATTTCTTGAGTGTCTTCACAACATGATGATTAGCTTTCTAAAAGTATGTAATCTAAAAGAGAGCAAGGTGAAAGTGGCAATGCATTTTATGATCTAACTGCAGGATTCACACAATCATTAAGTCACTTAGTTCAGCCAGCATTCAAGAGGAGGGAAACTGGGCTCTACTCTTTGAAGGGAGGAATGTCAAAAAACTTGAGGAACTAATTTTCAAACCACCATAATTATCCTTGAGATGTTCTTCTCTTTCATATCTAGTACCAAACCATCACTAATTAGATCCTTTGGATTGTATTAGTGATATATCTCTTAGATTCTTCTACTCTTCTGCATCCCCACTGCTATTAAAATTACCCAAAATATTTTCAACTCCCATCTTGACCTCTGAGTTGTCTCTAAAGAGAGCTGTGAAGACCCAAGTCCCTAATGTGATCTTTAAGGCACTGCATTAACTAATACCTACAGCACTCTCCAGCCTCATCTGTTATTGACACTCTCTGCCTCTATTCCAGCTACACTGACATTCTTTTAGTCTCTTGTACTCTCATGCTCCTTCCCATCACAGGTTCTGAGGTACCTTTTCTTATTATCTGTCCATTCAATCTTTTCCTGCCTGAAACTCTAGACTACTGTCTCAGCAGCAGTACCTACTCCTAAAAATTTCCACTGGGTTTTTACACAAACTGATAGGTTTCTTTTCAGTTATTTAGAATCTTGCTAGAACACCAAAACCAAAACCAAATTATTGAATGGAAGATGCTATAAACCCAAAATCAATTTAAATATTCATTCAAAGGTTGAGTAATGAAAGACTGAATGCCATGAATGAGAAGTTATTTAAGGAAGAATAGTAGTCAAGCCCCTTACAGTTATTATTGAAACTGCAAGGGGGTTTCAGCCTAGGTCCATTTACTCACCACACATACAGCCAATTATTGAGACAAGGATGGCTGCCACAGAAGAGAGGCATTTTTAATATGAAAGATGTCTGTCAGGAGAACCAAAGAAGCCACCTCAAATCTGTCTCCCCAACTAATGGAGAGTATAGGCTATTTAAAGAGGGGCTACAGTTCGTTGGAGCAGGTTGTGTTGAAATTACCAAGGAGCTACAGACACTGGGGCAGGTTGTGGGTGATGGTCAGTCTTGACTTCAGAAAGTCTGGGCAGTGGCCTTAGGAAATCAATTCCTTTGTCTTGCTATTTGGGGGAAACAATTCAAAAAGGTGTGGTTAGTTAAAAGTTACCAAGTTCTGGTCATCAAGCCCTACTCTCCTCAGGACCCAAAACAGGAGAGGAAGAGAATTATAAAAACAGATAAGGGTCACTGAATTTTTTTCATAGAGCCCTGTTACACAACTATACACTTGCAATGGGACTTTGAGCCTCTCTTGTTAAAGCAGTTTCAACCAGAAGTTGAATTCATGAACTGGGACAAGTCAATCAGATTTTTTTTTCCTTTATGGTGCTCAGTCCTTCCTTAGGCTTGTCTGTATCTTCTACACTTGGGTTTCATGAGATACTACTATAACCATCCAGGCCCCATTCAAATAAATTAGCTTGAGTTGATTTATCTTCATTTCAATTAAAGATATCCCTGACCAAAAGAGTCATGGTACCCAATGCAAAAGCCAGCCTTTCGCATAAGATATTGGCATTTTTCTAAACATATGTATGTATTCCATCGTTTGTTTTACTAAACTTATCTGTGAAAAAACATGTACCACTTTTAAGTCTCCATTTTTACATTGTTGAAGAACATCTGGCTTGCCCAAGGCCAAACATCTATGAATGGCAGAAAAGAACAAAAGCCAAGCCTCCTGGCTATCCATCTGGAGCCTTAACCATGGTGCCATGATGCTTTCCATTTAATTTTCTTCTGCACTCAACACAATGGCAGATATTAACTCTATTCTAAGTAATTTTCAATGTATTCTGAAACACTTAATTGGTTTTCTTTAAAATAAATAAGTCATTAAGAAGCTACAAATCAGTGAGTTAATTAGCTATGTTATGGCCTTTTAGCTCTTTCAGTTAAAATAAGCTGATGCCAAAACTATAAAGAAACTTTTTCCCATGAGAACAGACAGTATTCATGAATTTATAACAATTATCATGAATTTCAAGCATAGCATTTTGAAAGTGCTCAGTAAAAATGAATGAGTTTATGATAAAAATAAATTTTTTAAATGAAACAAATTGTATAAAGATTATACTTAAAAAACCTCAAATGATTACACTATTTAATCCTTTGTCATATATTTGACTATTAAATGGAGTCCTCCTTCCCCACCCCACTTCCACTTACAACCCTACATTAACCCTTTACACTCAAATACACATATACACAAACAATAATGCAATTTGTCACTGGCAACTAGCAAGCACTGAACATAGATACCCCCAATAAACTCTAATTTATATAAGCAAAAACACCACAGCAATACCAAGCCTGGTTAAAAAGGCACTCAATTTACAACTCTCCAAATGAACCATTAAATGACAATTTTCAGATATATAATGTTGATGATTTATGTCCCTCTTTCAGATCTCTGTATCTTGTTTTTTTTCCTATTTATAAATACCAGTTCTATGATCCTTTTTGGTTATTCACTAGCATCATTTGTAACTTGGGCAGAAGGATGGGAGAAGAGCAAGCTTGGATATTCTCTACTGTTAAACATATACTCAAGGCATGATTACTGGTTGGCTTGGTGTATCATATTCTGATGCTTGACCTCTCATTATATTTAGTTAATTAATTTCAAAAATATTTATTTAGTTAGTTACTCTGGATACTCTGAATTGTTTTGTGGGCCAATAAAACAAATGGAAGAGTCATGATTTTTGCTTAAATAGTAGAGCCTACAAAGTAGGAGATAGACAATGATTGATTATACCCATTGAAATGACAACTGCATTGTAACAAGTGCTATTAATGAGAGACACAACTGAGAGACACAAATTTGAGACATATTTCACAGGATTTTACAAAATCAGAGAGAATATTTAAGGCTTCCTGAAGAAATGATGCTTAAACCTAAGTGACAAGGATAATTAATAGTTAAATTCATGAATAGAGTCCCAGTGAACATTTCAGGCAAAGAGTTTATGGCTAGCAGTAGGTTTAATCAGACAAGTCAAAAAGAACATGGCGAATTATGGTTGAATTATGGATAAAATTAGAAGATAAGGCCAATGGGATGGATACAATATGTGAAAATAAAAAGTAAGAGTCAACAATTATCAAAAGGTTTTCAACTTGAGAACTGAAAGAATGGACTTGCCATTAACCAAGTTTGAAAAGAATGAGGAAAGAGCAGGTCTATGTGGGAATAGCAGGAGTCCGGTTTGGACATGTTAGGTTTCAGATATTCAAGTAGAGATGTTAAGTAGGCATTGGACCTAATAGTTTTTAGTGTGGGGAGAATTCATGACTAGAGATATAAAAGTAAAGTAATCAATGTACTCTACCACATTTATTATAAGACCATGAGCCTAAATGAGATGAACAAGGGATGAAGTGTATATATAGCAAAAAGAGGCATTAAGTAAACCTCCCAGTGATCACTATAACAGGGAGTCTGGTTGACCAGTAATAACCCTTGATAAAGGATCACAAAATAATAAGGAACCAACAGAAGAGGGAGAGAAGAAGCTTCCATTTGGGGAGAAGCAAGAATGACCCAATGAGAGTCACTGGGAAGATAAGTGACTTAGAGTGCCCAAACCAGATGGAACCTCCAGAATAGGGCAATAGATAGTAGGCATTGTTATTTGTGATACTATGATTATCGAAATATCATTATCACTGAAATTGGACTTAAACATTGTGCCTATGAATCACTGCAGAAAAGCCTATGGTAGACAATTAATGATGATGGCTCTGAGGCCCATTTTCACTACTCACTACAATTTTGGCAGGAGAAATATAACGAATTTAATAACTTGATTGTGTTATGATCAGGTGGTGATCCAAATGGTTCAAAGCTTGCCAATGCTCTGAGTTGAGTGACACAGCTGGGAGTACATGATGATTGATAACCTCCAGGAAGTGACATCAGTTTGGACACATCAGTTCCAAACACGATGAGTGTTCGGAAAGTCAGCTTCACTTTCCTCAGCAAAGCTCTATGGATGAAAAGAATCATTTAATCTTAGCAAGCAGGCCCAGGCTTCTGGTGAAGCCATGTAGGTAGAGGAGGAGCTGGACAGGGGAAGCAGTCATACTATGGGTTTCTAGGATGGGCAGTTGCAGAAAAAGGAAATTGTCTGAATGAAAAGAATCTGGGAACACTTCATCTTCCCTGGACACAAGTTCTTGTAATACAATATCCATGTGCACAGACCACATTTATGATAATTTCTCAATCTTGACACAAATTTTAGACCTGAGCAAAATTTACTATAGATTAATGGCATGTAAGTGAAAGTAGAATGCTTTTAACTGAGTGTGTTACTAATACAGGAAGCATGCCAATTGAAGAAAAGAATATAATTGTTTAATCTACTGGACAGAAGTTTTCCACTGCTGAGAAAAATTCACACAAAACCTGAACGCATAAGAATTGTATTTCACAGCTGAACTTTCATATTGTCTTATGCCTAAAAGCCTTTTGGTTAAAAATTACTATCAGAAATCAAGTTTGGGTAAATACAGATTTTGAAAGCCTAGTACCTCAGAGGGGGGCTTTTCTTTCCAGTTTTAATACAAAATAATGCCACCCCTGACAACTGAACTGACTACAGGTGAAACTTTACAAATACTGACTATAAATCTATAAATATCTGTCTTATGATAATATTTACTGTATGGTATCTAAGGTTTTTTTCTTGTTGTCAAGGTATTTTTGCTTAGCATTTCTATTTTATATTTTTACGCAATAATTGTTAGAAAGATTTCTTTTTGTAAAACCTGTATTTTTTTGTTCTTATTTGTAGTTTGGTTGCCACAAAGGAAACAGATAGTGCAAGATCTCGAAGTGCTCCAATGTCACCTTCTGACTTTCTGGATAAATTAATGGGGAGGACATCGGGGTATGATGCAAGAATCAGACCCAATTTTAAAGGTAACTGTTCTGTTTACTATTTTACATATGTTTTATATGCTAAATATTTATAGAATATTTATCTTGTTCAAACACGATAAATATTAAAATTTATTCCACCAGAAATTATAATGCTTATAGCCAATAATCTTCCAAATACTGTATTAGTCACAGATACATATTAAATGAAGAAATCTATTCACATGTTCACAGCTATCATAATTTGCCTTCTTTGGACCAACAGTAGTTTTTCTTTCTCTAATTATTATAATACTTATTTTTTTGACCATTAATTTTAGGAATATATATTTTTATTTATTAATATATGTTATTTAATTCTTCTATCAGTTATCCCACTAACTGGAATGGAAGCTTCTTTAAGAATAAATCTCCCACTATAGGATTCTCTGTATGTGGAGAATCAACCTACTGTTAAATTTATAATACTAATTGAGGAATGGGCTAGATTACTAAATAAAAGCCATTGACAATGTTGAAACTATTCCACCTACCAAATGTTTTACCTGAATTTCTAGGAAAGAATGTAATTGTTAATTTAAGACTTGCACTTTTTATTCTTCTTAATATAATGATAAGTGACATATTTACACAAGTGCTATGTAACTTATTCAGAACCACAATATAGCCTGTCATTTAATTTTAAAGTAAAATATCAGAAGATTGCTTCTATGCCCCATCTTATTTAGTATCTTCTTGAATGTTATTTTATTCAATAAAGAAAATAATCAAAGTTAAAGAATACATACTTTTCCCATGGAATTCAATTAAGCAATTTCCATTCTTAAAGGTTAAAAAAAGTCTCCAATTTCTATTTTTATTTCTTGAATTTTCCTTATGGAAGAAAAAAAGAATTGCTTAGCAGTGGTGTAAGAATTAATTATAGAGAGGTTATAAATATCACAATTGGGTAGCAGAAGATGAAGTAAAACTTGTTGATAATCCATGAGTAGAAAATCATGAATGGTTTCATTTTCAAATGAATTTAACATTTATATTGTGGATTACATTTCTTGATTTAAGCTTTTCAACCATAAATATTTTTAACTTCAAGAAGAAAACACTAAGTTTAAGCCATGCAAAAATAGTAGACTTGACAGGGGTACAATATAGAAATGAAAGTGAGAAATTTCAGTATTACAAGGATCTTTTTCAAACTGAAGGAAAGCAATATCCCTGTCATTTACTTGAGAACTAATTTGGAATTGATCTTGAAATAATATGCAGTTGTCATATAAATAAACCACTGGAAACATAATCAGTAATTAAGTTTATACTCTATATTCAGTGATTCAGAAGTACTGCTTTCTTTTCACTGAAAATTAAAGAGGAAAATGTATTCCATTTTTAAATGTCTGTGAATATTTAAAAAGCATATAAATAGCCTCAACAGATATTTTAATAAAACTGCAGATACGGTACTAACCACGCAACAGTGGCCTACTGCTTTTCCTGTTCTCTTGAAAAGTTTTGTTTTTGTTTATTATTTCAAAAATTTAATAAAGGAAATTTGAAACCATTTTAAAATGTAACTAATTATTGTTATTTATGTATGAGACTACTAAAGGACTCCAAGGATGTGGTCTTACTTAAAAGAGGTACTGATTCTTTCTTAAAAATTAATAAAAATGCATTCCTAAAAGCAAGCTGATAAGCAAGCCAGTTCAAAGGTGATTAAATTTTGGGAGGAGCTAGAATCCATTCTCACCCCCCAATGTCCCTGAAGGAAGAAAACAAAAGTAAGATTTTTTTTCTCTTTCATGGTTTTTACTGGATATCTTGTACTCTGGATATTAGAAAAAGAAATGTATGCTGTATCTGATTACCAAAAATAATAGTATCAATTATAAAATTAATTTAATGGATTAGTTTTTAGCTAATACCTTGCTCTTTCATCTTTGGCCAAGTCTCAAATGTTATTGACTTCAGAGAATACTCATAACTCTACCTCCAAATTAAGCATTTTCAACATTGTTTCATTTTATTGAATAAAACGCCATAATCTTTTGACCATCTTTTCATTACCCAATATGGAAATATAGATAAAATAGTCTTTATATGCTATTTCTTCCTTATGGCTAAGAGAAAGATGTTTAGGTGTTAGCAAACTAAATCCAACACCTAATGGAAGAGGATTAGACAAAAGAAGGAGAGGGAGATCAGCCTTTCTGTTATCAGGTGTGACCCGCCTCACCTCACTAACAAGGATGCTCATCAAATGTAGAAGTATGACGAAAAGAGCCTGTCCTCCTGATAATGTTTTAATCAATATTTCTGTGAGGTAGCTCATACGACTAAAAATAGAATGCCCTGCCATATTGGTTAAGTGTCTTTCTCATTTTTTTTAAAGAAATCCTTTAAGGAATTTAGCTAGATAACCAAATGAACTAATTTAGAGTGGGTACTTTCCCTTCCAATTGTCAAAGACAAGAAATTAATAGTATGAGAGTTCAGAGACATGAATATCAATAATATGATACTGTAATAGTCTATTTTTTTGAAAAAATAAATGAGCAAAATTAGCTAAATAAGTTTTAAATGAAGAAAAGGAATGAAAATTATAATACTGGTAAAATATATTAAATCACTTAAATAATCTGATCCTTACTTCTTCATAGATTAAAGTGTTAATGACAAAAGAAATAAACCTAGAAAGTAATTTACTTAGATAACTAATCAGTTGATAGGAAACTTCTATATTATAAACTATAAAAGCATATATGTTTAAACTCTCTGGAATTTGTATATTTTGTAAAAGACAAACACAAAATCTCAGTATTAACATAATTAGACAATGAACAGAAAAATAAACAAATATTCAACCTCCTTAGCAATTAACAAAGTGTATATTATAACAATAACATTTGTTATTGTTGATTGGTGATAACATTTTCACCTCTCAAATTGTCAACATTTAAAAATAATAACTGTTATTATTATAATAATATAATATATATGTTATAATAATATGTAAGAGTTATATAACTTATTAATAACTAAAAAATAACAGCCTAAAATATATATAATTACAAAATTAATTTTGGACTACTATTTTCATATTTGTGATTATTTTCGCAAGTATATTTATATTCAAAGGGAATTTATCTTGCAGGCCATAGTGGAAAATAACTATTAAAAAATAGATATTGACTTTGTTAAAATGTAGCTTTTGATTTTGCTCCTTTATACTGCTAATTTTTTAAAAATCTGGATTTATACATTTTTTCTTTAATGACATTTGTTTGTAATGTTTTATGTCATTTCCCTTAAAAAAATACACTATTAAAAAATTTCATCTCTGGGCCAGGAATGGTAGCTCATGCCTGTAATCCTAGCACTCTGGGAGGCTGAAGTGGGAGGATTGCTCAAGGTCGGAAGTTCAAAACCAGCCAGAGCAAGAGCGAGACCCCCATCTCCACTAAAAATAGAAAGAAATTAAATTGGCCAACTAAAAATATATAGAAAAAATTAGCCAGGCACGGTGGCACATGCCTGTAGTCCCAGCTACCCAGGAGGCTGAGGCAGAAGGATCACTTGAGCCCAGGAGTTTGAGGCTGTGAGCTAGGCTAAAGTAAAGCCACGGCACTCTAGCCTCGGCAACAGAGTGTAACTCTGTAACTCTGTCTCAAAAAAAAAAAAAAAAAAAAAAAAAAATTCATCTCTGTTATGATTAAATACTTTAAATATGTTATTAAAATGCACCGCAGAGGTATAAATAAATCTCTTAACGCAGCTTAAACTTGTACAGAGCACAGATAAGACCCTCTTTTCCATCAAGCATTATTTTAGTAAATAATTAAATACAAATAATAGCTATTCATAAAATAAACATTGAGAGAAATTAAAATAATTAGGTACCTAACTCACTATCTTTCTTTTTTTTTTTTTTAACCAGTTTTCTTTGCCTCCAGAATAGTATTCATTTATCTTAAATATTCTGAGAATCAAATTTCTCCAATAAAAACACTATGCCTTTAGGATAATTTGACAGAAGTACAAAAATTACTTCAAATCTCTGTTATATATCTTAGTCCTATTAAATATAATGTTTTAAAAAACTATTATAAAGAGGCATTTTTAATCATGATAAATAGGCTTAGAAATTATCTGAGAGTCTGCCAAAAGGAATTTGCAAATAAAGCTCCATGTAAAACTCAACTAGTTGATCATTAAACAGAAATAAATTTTTGCCCAAATCATTTCAAAAAGTTGGTCTTAAGGAGGAGAAATGGTATGCATAGAAACAGTTATTTCTATTTTGAAAAATGAAAACAATAAATATTAATAGATGCCACTATTTCTTTCTTGGAATTCAAAATCCTTTCTCTTCAGAACTCTTCCTAGTTAGGGACAAGAACAGAAATGGAAGAGGCCCAATGAGAGAAAAGACCAGTTCACCAGGCACAAACCCCACACCATAGAGCCCATGGGGCAGCACAGTCCAGTGTTGTTACAGACTTAAAATGCCAGATGAATTAAGCGTGAGGGGAAGATTCAGTAATCCTTATGACCAGTAGTTTCTTGAAATATATATACACACACACACATACATATATATACACATGCACAGACATATAAATGAAACACTTAAAAATAAAAGAGGTTTGTTTTTAAAAACCTTTTTGTTATTAAGTTGTATTTCTATCTCTGTCTTCACATACCAACAAAAACGATATATAACACATTTTCATTTTCAGGACAGGAGTAAGATTTATATATTTCCTGAGCTCTGATTTGTCTGATTTTTGTTTAATTCATAGACTTTCTTTAAAAGCAGTTTTTGGTTTACAGAACAGTTGATTGGAAAGTGCATGTACCCCCACCCATTCCCCACAGTTTGCCCTATTGTTGGCATCTTGTATTCTTGTGATACATTTATTACAACTGATGAACCAATATTGGTATGTTATTATTAACTAAAATCCATAATTTACATGAAAATTCATCCTTTGTGCTGTACATTTTTTACAGGTTTTGACAAATGTGTAACAACACCTGTCCAT